TAAAATCGAACATGTTTGCATGCTAAATTGGATTAAAAACAGAGGGTATGTTTATGTGTTCATGTTTATTTGATTTTGAATCTTGTTTGATGCATGATTTCTTTTTTTTAATTGTCTAAATTATGCATAAAGGCTTTAATTAATATTTAGGATTGTTAGGGACTTAGAACAACAGCATTAAGACCCTTAACGGAGGAGAACAGAGTCGTCGGAGCCAGAGAAGACGAAGTGTCATAGGGACACGTCGACCGTTTTGGAGTACCCGTCAACTGGTTTGTGCAAACTGGTCGACGTCTGCAGGTTTCACATCGACCAATTTGTGGGTAAACCAGTCGACGTCTGAAGTGGACACATCGACTGGTTCTTGAACCCGTTGACTGGTTTAGTCCAATGCAGGGTTTTGCATGGGGTTTCATGCCAAGGTTTGTTTGAGTTTATTTTTAATGATTCTAAATAACTGTAATTAACCGATAATGGATTGGAATGCATTATATATATATATATATATATATATGCTAAGTGAATAATTTAATTCATTTTAAAAAGGTTAATTAATGGTTGATTATGTTGGATTAAATTTTAAACAATTATTTAGATTTAAATGATTTTAATCAGACTATGGAGCTTTATACAATTTATTTGAGATGCATTTTAATTACTTGTAATGTAAGTTAACTGCATGCTACTTAAAATTGTTATTATTATTTAATTATATACAAGGAATGTCTATATGATTTATATCATGTTATGACTGGATTATTTGATGTGTAATTATATATGTTGCATCAATTGTTGGATATGGATAAATGCACCATTGTCAAGATATGGGGGTATATTATGGATGGATTAACTATTAAGTTAAGTCCTATCTATTCGTGTCTGGCCACAGAACTAGTTGGATGACATGCCATTGAAAGACTATGGCGGATAGTTTACTTTTATGTTATGGATATGATTTATATATATGAATATGTGTCATGAAATGAGCTTGAGTCTCAGGATTAGTGGTTAGAGAGCGTATATTGCTTAGGATGCATAGCTGGATATAGTGGATAGTTGTGTGCGCTGGTAGATCATGGTACTCATACCCACTATATGTGCATTTTGCATGCTATCTACTATTCTGGTTAAGGCCATCATGTAGTCCAGTGAGAGTCCTTTAGTGTGTATCTATATATATGTGGACTATGTAGATATTGTTGAGTTGACTAGAATGTATACGTATATCGGGTCTTTGTTTGGGATGTAGTATAGTAAAACTTATTCGTGGGCCTAACCCACTATTATTTTTCAGGTATTCGTTAATTTCAGACTTAGAGATTGTTCGTGCTAAGCAGAGATAGTCTTCATCACTCTTCTACGTATGATTTTTCTTTATGTTTTCAGTTTTTGGATTTCTTTATTTCGGTTATTTCAGTTGGGATTATTAGGAGTCCACATTATGGATTCCCGAATTGTAATCTAGATGGTTCTTGGTATCAGAGGATTTGGATTATTAATGAAGGATTTATTTTATTGGATTATTGATGGAGAATTTATTATTTAGTTTTCTTTTCAGCTTATTTATTTATTCTTATTATCTTTTGTATTCTGTATTTGTTTATTATCTGATTGTTTCGATATTCCCTTAGTGTCGTGCGCGGACTTGATCAACCCATGTTCCGAAATCGAGGGGTATCACAATTGGATGGAAGAGAGAAAAGAAGAGATGAATGAGACATCTCTAATGAAGAGATTTTGTCACTCCCTCTTTTTGTTTGATTGGATGGAAGAGAAGAGAATAAGATAATACTTTATTTTGTTTATTATGAGAGAATAGAAGAGATAAGGCTAATTATAAGGAAAGTTTTGTAATTTAATTTTTTTATAATAGCCTTCATTTTTTTTCTTTGTGTTTTTCGTCCATATTTGCAGGGATAAAAATTTATGTAGGAGGAAGGATGACTCATCTACCCTCTCTTCTCTTCTTTCCTTGCCTCTTCTTTACCAAACGGAAGAAGTTTGTTTTTTCCTTCCCATCTTCCCTCCACCCCTCTTCCTTCCTTCCCACCAAATGAAGCATAAGTATTATTTCACTTGTATAATTTGAGAAAGTGCACTTAGTCTGTAAGAATACTAGGCTTTTTACTAGAATGAAAGAAAACTAGGGTTTTTGACTTGGAATGAAAGTTGATCATGTGTCTTTTGAAGACAATTATATTTTGGCAATTTTACCTAGAAAAGTGTTTGAACTTAACTTTTGTTAAATACTCCAATGTTCAAGTTGTTGCCTTTTTTATAGGGTTCTGAATTTCTAATGTTTGAAGAATGCTTTGAAAAAGTGTCTTGAAAAAGGACTTTTGAGGAAGTCTAAAAAAATGATTTTGAAGAAAATAATTTATTGAACTTGAATTGTTTTGAAATTCAATTGATTTTGAACTTGATTTTTGAGAAAATCATGCATCCAATTAATTTATTATGTGGCGGACCCATCTCCACAAGGCAAAGGCAAGGATGCTGAGAAGGATGAATGGTGTGTTGAATTGACTTATAAAGGTTTGAACCTGAAAACCCTATAATGTGAAAATCCTAAAAGTTGATTTAAATAATGTCGTTGAAACAAGATTTTATCTCCATATGGAGTAAATTTCCAAGGTGAAGTCCATTGTTGCTCATTTCTTTTCTCTTCGTTGAATTTATTTTTTATTTTTATTTTTTCACTATTTGATTAAAGAAAACTTAAGACATTACCCAGTGACCTAATTGGTAGAACGCCTAACTTCCCGAATGGGTGTTCCCATATTCAAGTCCCCCTCCCTTAGTTTTGAAGCAAAGTTACAAGTTTACTCACATGGAAGGCATCACTACCACAATATAAACAGTGACATCCAAATTTTTTATGCTGATCAAAATCAATCTGATACAACAAATGAGTGGATCTTATGCTGTAGAATATGAAACTCAAGACTCCAATATAAAAACCTCCTCACAAATGCCATGAAAATAAAAAGATAATTAACAAACAAGGGACGAGAATTGCACTTCTTTCTGGATACAAAACTAATAAAAATTTGTAATAATGAATATGTTTTGTATTTTATTTGTGATAATAAAAAGATATATATGTATTATTATTATTTATATTATATATATGTTTTGTATTTTATTTGTGATAATTAGAGAAAATGAAGAAAACAAGCAAAAATGAAGAAATTGAAGCTGCAGCATAACGCGTTATATTTATTTATAACCATGAATAAATGCAAGTTGCAGCTTTACAAAGATGGTTTAAGTGTTCATTTCCCTTCACAAAAATCTCAAGTTTGAATGCATGCAGAGACACAAGATTTGTAATTTTTTGGTCAAATGTCCATCCCTCGCCACCTCATCATCTCTGGGTCCGCCAGTGCCACATTAGCGATTCCCTCCACATTAGCTACTTCTATATATATATATATATTTATTTATTTATATTTATATATATGTATGCATTTGGACAACCACGTGAAGGATAGAAGGAGACAAAAGGAATTAAAAAAAAAAAAAAAAAAAAAAAAAAAAAAAAAAAAAAAAAAAAAAACAGGGAAAAGAAAAGTAAAAGCCTAATGATAATGTCTGGGAATAAAGAAAGAAAAGTCATGGAAAAAAGGCCAACAAGCAGCCGCGTGGGCTATTGGGCTATTTATAGTCTACGCCATTTTTCTGAAGAGGAGAGCCCGATTTATGAGTTGAAAAGTAGGATAGGTTCTCTCCACCGAGAGTTGCTCCGAGGAGCTAGCTAGGTCAATCTTTGTGAATTTAATTTTTACATTTTTTTTTTTCGTGTATTTTAATTATGTATCATTTTCTTTATGTTAATTTAAATGCTTTCTTAATTTTTTGTCTATTAGATTAGATGCTTTAAATTTCAGTAGATTAGTTCAAAATTCAAACAATGTTTTAATGTTCTTTTCTCTCTAAATATTAATTTGAATATAAGTTCCAATATGAAATCTCAACTCGAATATGGGTTTGACCCTACTTATCACTATTCAATTTTAGTAAAGTGGTTATAAGAAAAATATCTTTGTATAGAGTATATATATGCAACGATAATATTTCAAAATATGCTCTTCCACTTCCCTCCACCCCTCTTTATTCCTTCCACCAAATGGAGCATAAGTTTTACTTGACCTGTATAATTTGAGAAAGTGCACTTTAGTCTGTAAGAATACTAGGCTTTTTACAAGAATGAAAGAAAACTGGGGTTTTTGACTTGGAATGAAAGTTGATCGTCTTTCGAAGAAAATTATATTTTGGCAATTTTACCTAGAAAAGTGTTTGAACTTAACTTTTGTTAAATAATGTTCAAGTTGTTGCCTTTTTCATATAAATGTTCTGAATTTCTAATGTTTGAAGAATACTTTGAAAAAGGACTTTTGAGGAAGTTAAAAAATGATTTTCAAGAAACATAATTTATTGAACTTGAATTGTTTTGAAATTGAACTTGATGTTTGAGAAAATCATGCATCCAATTGATTTATTATGTGGCGAACCCATTTTCATAAGATAAATGCAAGGATGATGATAATGATGAAGGATGTATTGAATTGACTTATAGAAGTTGGAACCTAAAAACCCTAGAATGTGAATATCTTATAAGTCGATTTAATGAATGTTGTTGAAACTAGGTTTTATCTCTATACGGAGCAAATTTCCAAGGTAAAGTCCGTTGTTGCTCATTTCTTTTCTCTTATTGGAATTTTTTTTTTTTTTTTTATCTATTTTTTCAATGTTTGATTGAAGGAAAGGTAGGGCATAACTCAGTGACCTAGTTGGTAGAACGCTATTCAAGTCTCCTTCCCCTTAGTATGAAGCAAAGTTACAAGTTTACTCATATGGAAGCTGGATCACTACCACAATATTTACTGTGACATCCAAATTTTTTATGCTGATCAAAACCAATCTGATACAACAAATAAGTGGATCTTATGCTGTAGAATATGGAACTCAAGACTCCAATATAAAAACCTCCTCACCAATGCCATGAAAATAAAAAGATAATTAACAAGCAAGGGACAAGAATTGCAATGCTTTCTGGATACAAAATCAATTAAAATTTGTAATAATGAATAAACAACACATAATTAATCACCAATGTTCATGAACTATTCTTCTACATGATCTGCATAAATTCTTGAAACATCTTCATGGAAGAAGCTGGCAAACCAAGGAGCACATTGATGCTTTTCCTCTCTTTTCCATGAGACAGGAACAGAATGACTTCCTTCTCCGGCAAAGCCACAGGACCGGACAGTAGAGGCTCACCCCACCCGAAGTCTGTAGTGTGGAAAGATAGCCTAGACCAGGTAGTGATCAGAAGAGTGGCAGCCAGAGAAGGCCTAGCTCTTGTTACCTCAAAATAGTCTATGGCTGACCTCATATAACTGTCTGTAACCATATTAACCGCCTCCTGAACTAGCCTCACTGCGAATGACAATGGATTGTGCACTAGCTCACCTGCACTGCAAAGTGAGTTTGTCAACACAATCCCATTCCCAAAGTACCCCTCCGGTATAGGTGGCTCAAATCTGGAACGCCCATCGACAGCAAAGAGGAGCTTTGTCTCTTGGTCAGGCTTCATCCTTAAGGCCTGAGTTCGCGCCCTCCACACAAATGCTGAGAGGGCTTCAAATGTGGTGCATTTGTGTAGGACGCGGTCTTCCATGGCTTTCGCCTTGAGCTGTTCAAGCTTCTCGGGGTCAAAACAGAATGACCTGTAGTGTATTTCTTCTTCATAGAGATTGCTAGTGTTTGATATGTCATCAATTTCCGCGAATTCGTGGTGGGGGTTTTCTATCTTAGGGGGGTTTCTGGCTTTGAGAATGGTTCTGTCTAGAAATGGAGGAACTGATAGAGGCAAGCCTCTGGCAGTTTCACCCCAAGAGTTCACAAATTCCATGGCACCAAGTCCATCAAACATACAATGGTTCATGCACAGCCCAAGAACAAATCCTCCACATTTGAACTTTGTCACCTGGAAGATCAAATTACAACCATATTATGTTAATTCCCTTCCAAAATGATGTGCCACACTATAGTTTTGGATGGCCTCTATAATTTTTCACTAATTAATTGTTGATTATTCCCTCCAAAAATTAAGTTTGAAGTCTTCTGCAATAAAGGTAGACTTACTACACCAAAATAATAATAATATTAACAATAATAAGAGTAGACTACATTAAAATAAAATAATAATAATAGTAAGAGTAGACTAACATGAATTGTATTTCAGTCAAGGAAGCTAGTATTAGTGATAATTTAAATATGAAACTTGCAACATGTGAGAGCCTCTATAGGTGAATTAAAAAATGCTGTCAAGATTTATATATCAATGCAAAAATATGGTAGCAATGGAAATTCGATTCTGATCCACTTTCGAACCGAATTGTCATCAACATTGAGGATGCTATGTAACTTATTATTTACATTTCATGCCAGTTTTTTTTTTAAAATAAAAAAATCTTGAAGATATTGTGTACATCCTATTATTATTCTGCAATCTAGCTAGGAAACTAGGAAACTTTAATGACACTAAATAATGAATTCAGAAGCTTTTCACAAGTGACATGAGAAAAAAAAATTAAATATATGTCACAGACTAAATAATAATGCAAAATTGACTCAAAATCATTGGAGAAATGGGCTGACCTGAGCCGCCAGAGGAGGTATCTCCAGTATGTTTTTGGCGCCAGGAATGTCGTAAACCAGCTTGCCAAGAGTCACAGGATCAGGCTTTGTATTGTCACCAATCTCTTTGATGGTGCAGTTGGCTTCTGCCTCGACAAAAACAGCACCTTCCCCGGTACAATCCACAATCAGCTTCCCCTGGGAGCTGATTGTCAGCCGCCCAGCAAGCGGGAAGTAGTGAACAAGAACCTTGGACAAGGCATCCTTGATCACCTCCACAGCTCTCTCATTGCCCTTCTCCTCTGCTTTAAAGCAGTAGATGGTACGAACGATCACCGCGATGTTCTGGTCAAGGTTTGATAGCAGGTACAGACCCTTCTGTGTTTCCTCTGCAGGACTCACCAGAGTTTGCTCTCCTTGCTTCACAATGAGCTCAAACTTATGGTTATTGGCATACTCCATTAGGAGACACTCTTTAAAGTACTGCAAAAGAAGAATCACAAAAATTAACCAATTAGGCTTTAAAATGCTAATGTACTAATGAGAGAACTCATACAAGTGAAATAAAAAGTACCTATAATGCAGGAGTGTTCAATTGTTGTATGAGTTGTGGAAAAGCTAAAAATAATATATTCATGAGAATGGAGAAAGAGGGGTTATATAGGAGGAGATGGGCCACAAAATATTGGGAGAGAGAGAGAGAGACACTTGAAAGGGACAGGTTTTGTTACCTGATTGGAGCTGGTTCATAAAGCAAAGCTATTTTAATGGAGGATATTGAGAGAGAGAGAGAGAGAGAGAGAGAGATTGAGTCTTGTTTTGGAATTGTGTGCTTGGAAGATTCTGCTATTGTCATATGGATGGCAGTAGGTTACTGGCCATGGCACCAAAACATTACCAGTCAAAAAAGCATAGCGTTGGAGAGGATAGGCTGTGGGGTTGGTTGGTGGGGTTGGTGTCCAAAGTTTGGTTAACTTGATCAACTCATTATACTAATTTAAACGTTTGCTTCCCTATGCATTATTGTTTGACTTAATTATTTTATTCAAAGGTTATAACCAAATTTTCAATGCAAATGGTAGACCCATCATTTCCGGACTCACTGTACTATGAATATATTATTTGCTTACATTCCACCGCTAAATTGTTCACGGTTTTCAAAATATGTCTACAGATAGGAAGAATATTATGCACATAGGATTAGCTTTGGTTAGAAGACCTTGGCATCATAACATTTACATATACTTCTTGGCACAGTTGTGTTGCCAAGAGGTCTCGAATTCAATTCTTTCTGAACTTATTCAATACATGTGGCTTTTTTGGAATAGTTACATATATTCCTGGTAGTCCTATTACTTTATAAAATAGTGTCAAATGTACAATTGTACTAAGCAATGCTTGTACATCAACTGCATGACCCGTTTAGATTGGTTCTTCAATATCAACCATAGATGGTGAGGTGTTTGAGACTCAATGGGGCATGGTAGCGTGTTTGCTTAACCTTTCAACGAAAAAATAAAAATAAAAAAAATAAACCATGAATGGTGGCCTATATTCTGAGAAGAGAAAGTAATTCATTTATAAATAATAAAATAGAAAACAGACATGGCTTCAATATCAACCATAAATGATTATGAGGTGTCTGAGATTCAGTGGAGGCATGTAAACGTGCTTGCTTATCCTTCCAACTAAAAAAAAATAAAAAAATCAACCATGAATGGTGGCCTTTATTCCAATAAGAGAAATCAATTCATTTATAATAAAAAATAAAAAAGCAGAAAATAGACATTTCAGCTTTTCTCCATACAGATCTGAAATTCTCCAAATGAAAATGAGTGGACACGAAATCAAGACATGAAATCATTGGGGCACCAAAATCAAATTTAAGTAAATTGCTTAAAATCTATGTAAAAACTAAATAAAAATAATAATAAACTAACAAAAGATAACAATATTCATAACACAGGTTTGCATCACAAGTTCACAAACCACACAGACAAACACAGTGAATACTCCACATATGCAAAACCAAATTTACCGTTAGTAGCTCAAAACATTAACTACTGTTACCTGGACATTTTAAATTGAGTGCTGAACGAATTCACGAAAAATTATAGACATCTTTTCGAGAATAAAATATTAATAAACCAAATAAAACATTCACTAACCCCAAAAGCGATTGAAATTGATAAAAAAAAATTGATATAATTGAAGAATTATTCAACCGAATTGATGAACTCTGTAAGACCACTTTTCACCCTTCCCTACAAGGTAGGATCATTACCACAAAGAACATGATGTCCAAATGAACCAGTAGCAGTCTTGTATGAGCCAGAAAAACTAGCCCAATACTGGGACCTTTTAAACTGCTAACAAAGTATGCAAGCCTGTCTTTAGAAAAGCGGCACTACCTCGAAAACAGTCTCAGATACTTTTGATTCATTTGGCACAGAAAAGAAATTACTACTCATTTACACTTGACAAATAGCTTCATATCACTTCCAGAAAAATTTCAAGCAGTTACAACAGGGAAATCAAACTAAGTACAACTACAAGAAAAGAAATACTAAAAACTAAGGGGGTGAAATTTAGAAACTACCTAAAGAGTTAATGTCTATGGTACAAACAAAATCAGCTTGGGGCCTTCATCTGGGAAGGTCATATGTTATCATCTATATAAATTGGATGAAGCCCCTGTACAAAGATGAACTCCCTCGGCAAGTTGCACTACATTCACTACAAATACAGAAGGGTCATCTGAGATTTCCAAATCCGCCTCAGCGAGCTAAGCATCACTGCCTCCATCTCCATCTTTCTCCTCATCATCACCAGCCTCTTCTTCCTCTTCTTCTTCTTCTTCTTCTTCCCCACCTTCTTCCTCATCAGTCATGCTATTTATCACATCCGTAATTATACCCTTGACCTCAGCTTTTCTGTGGAATAAATCCAGACCAAAGTGGGTGCCTAACATAACCATGTTCAAAAAGTTAGCCAATTATAAATAATACTGCTATATTTTATAATGTAACAAGTATACAGGTAAGACATACCCAGTTGCCTGAGGATATCAGATAAAGTTGCCTGCATTATTTAAACAAAGAAGTTTGTAAATTACATTACAAACACTGATTCGAACCATTTGAACCATGTAATGCTGGGCAAAGGTACAACTTACAGTATTGAAGTCCACTTGCTTCAGAATATCTACAACTACGGCATGTATCTCTTCTTTGCTGGGTTCAGGCTTAGCCTTCTTGCTAGCTTTTCCTTTTCCTATCAGAATAACAATTCAAATTTGTTTATCAGAAAACATATCATATCCCTTGAACAACAGTTAAATTTCTCTAAATATAAGTTCTTTTATGGCGTTGAATATCCAAAAGTATTCGACTTAGAGTCCCTTGGTGACAGGCATAACAGTTCTATTTTTATAAATTTTTTAACAAGATGCACTTCATAAAAATGAAGTCAAATGCGGACATCGTAACTGAAAATTTGACAAGAGTGACATAAATCTTTCTTTGACAAACAGGAACAACTTCAACTTTATAAACATGTTTCTAAATAAATTGTAAGTATCTTACCATGACCATATCAAGACAGCAAGCAGTAGCAATTAACAAGCTAAAAGGCTCAAAGTTACAAGAACAAGGAAAGCACCTGATGTGCACTATCAGAGCACACAATTGTGTAAACAACTGCATGGCATATTTTATGGAGCCTGAACTATTTAAATGCACATTTCAGTGTCAAAAACCCTTTTAGTGAAATAACTAAAAAGAATTTAGAAAATTAAGCACCTTGATCCTTTGCCACAGCTTCTGAGGTAGACTTGCTTGATTTTTTCTTGCTTGTTGCTTTCTCCTTAGTCGAAACACTATGTTCCTTGCTTTCCTTTTCGACCTTTTGCTTTTTAGTTACTGACCCCTTGGGTTTAGAAGTTGAGCCAGATGGTCCATCGACACCGGCAACGCTCTTTTTCACAGTTGAGCCAGAATCTTTTTTGGTAGATTTTGAAGGCATTTTGGCGGATTTTGCAGGGGTATCTTTTTTGGCTGATTTAGATTTGGTGCTAGTTTTAGCCCCTGAATCCTTCTTAACATTCTTCCTGGACTTCTTTTCACTTGGCATTTTCTCCTCTGGTTCAGATTCCTCTTCCTCTGATTTACTCTCCTCCTGATCACTCTCTAATTTTGGATCAGTATCGATATCTTCATCATCTTGAGAATCTTCTTTGGTAGCTATAGGCTCATCTGCATCATCAACTTCATCTTCTCCCTCGACCTCAGATGAATGCTTGCGCTTCTCTCCAACTTTAGAGGTTTGCTTTTGTTTCTAGATGTAATAAGCGAATAATTAAACAAATATAACATCATCAAAGGGGAAAAAAACAAAATTTGAGAGAAAGATAGTTATGCTAACATGCATGTGCACATAAACACGCAGAGGCAAAAAGCAGACTGAAATCATCAAATTACTCACTGAAGTAGGATTTGCTACAGAACATTTTTATTTGGATTATTCAGACAGCTGATTAATAGTCCACAACATCGACGAGTGACAAAATGCTGCATAGAAATTGTTGTTGTGTTCTACATAGAATTTGTGTTTTTGTAGCATTCCTGATTTTTAGTTTTTATATTTATCAAGTTGCTTAATTACAGGAACTTAAAAAAGGAGTCCAAATGACCTACTTTCCCAAGGGACTGAGAATATCCAACACTAAATCACTTACTACTATGTTAAAATGCTGCAGAACACATCACAAACTAGTTCACAATACAATGTTTAATTAATGGGAGAACCAATAAAAACATATACTAAAATTATAAATAATAAATAAAGGAAATGTTATGATCTTTCAAATGAACAAGGCCAACCTGATTTAGTCCATGCTCGGGACTCAACTTCTCAACCCCGAAGTTGGGTCTGTTATGCTTCGTCAAACATTCCCCTTAATTTGGGATGTTGCGCCCATGTTAGATGGGCTTTTCTAAATTAATTAAGTACCCATGTTGGACACACATCACTGAGTTATGGGTATGGGACATGTGCACAATACATCTAGTCAAATGCGCACCTAGCAAGCATATTTCATAATTGTTCTTTGTATTATGTTCCTTTTGTACGGTATTAAATGGTAATGTTACTTGAGAGAGAGAGAGAGAGAGAGAGAGAGAGAGAGAGAGAGAGAGAGTATTATATTGGAAAACAAGACATGTCACGATATCTTTGTGCTTGGGAATTTGATAGATCAGATACTTAAAAGTATACGAATAGCATAGTGTTGCACTAGTACTTAACCCAAACCGAAGTACCTAGTAAACAACCCCATACACCAACAAAAGGAGGACGAGAAAGCACTAAAACAATGGGTATTATAAATAATACCAACAGTGTAAAAGGTGATTATATTCTTCATCATGATATAAAATATTGCATAGCGGTTAATGACCACTAAAGAAATGGTATTATTGAGTAATTAAAAATGAAGGTGTTTTTTAAGTCTGGAACCCAATAAAAATGTGAAGAAGATTTTATGCGAGTCCGACTCAAAGGGCATTTCCTGTAGTAGCCTAGTAGTTTAAGGCGATCTGACAAAACCTTGACAATACAAGCTTTATTGGAGCAGAGGTGTGCCTAGGGATGGCAACATGATGGGTTGGGACGGGGAACGCTGACCCCATCCCCATCCCCGTTTCAGCATAGCTACCCCCAATCCTGTCCAAAACCGTTTATTAAACAAGGCAGGGCAGGTCTAGTAGAGTAATTTTGCAATTGTATTACGAATCTATCTAAGTTAAATAATGAAAAAATTTCTCAACCTTGGTAATAATTTTTTTTTCTCTTATCTGGATAAAAAGAAGATTCAACTTCTCAATTGGAACTTCATACTTAAAATTATTGTAGGAACATCAAAGTAATACATAAAGTCCTCAAATAGGAATAACATACAAGAAGTATAAGGACAAATTATTCAATATAAAATTATTGAATATAAAAACAAAGTATAAGAACAAATTTGTAATTTATCACTATAAACGAGACGGAGCAACCTTTTCCATCCCCGCCCCATAACCATGCAGGTTTTCAATCCTTACCCACACCCCCACCCTTAAATCATTTAACCACCCACTCCCTTAACCGTTCTAAACAGGGCAATGTGGGACAGGTACCCGACAAAGTGGGGTGTTTTGCCGTCCCCAGGCATGCGTGCCTATGACAACCAGGCAAACCACTGCATTTGTAAATGAATAAAGAGCACTAATAAAACTGATAATAGTGACAGAAGAAATATGAGAACTATCACCAGCATCATCATCATAATCGGAGGAACAAAAATTATCAGAAGAATAATAATGAAACAAAGTAGTGTTCATAATTTCCAAAATCTTGTTAAAGTTTATTTGTTATTCCTTCCAAGAATATTGTTTGCTGTGTGATATTCTCAATGACAATTCCAACATTCAAAGTCTCCTAACCTTTGTCATTATATTTTGACAAGAATTTTGCTATCTTAGACTTTAAAGAATTCCCTTTTTCTTTCCTCATTGCCTTAAAACAATTTTTTTCTTAAAGATTTTTTCCACTTAATAAGTTTCAAAACAACCTAGTAAAAGAAGCAATTTCATCATGGTATGAATCACTTTTAGACTTATTACATTCAACCTTAATAGAGTTTAATACAATTCCTCTATTTCTCTTAGGTTTAAGGAAGTTGAGTTCATATATGATATATCTGAAGTGAACTTACAAGTTATACTCAAATTGAATCATCTTAAACTTTTTTTCTACTGTCATTATCTTCCGTTAAAACCTAGTTGGAAAAAATCTCAAATTAGAGATTTTTTCTAATTTTGTTTTCAAGGGTTCACTAACCTAGGTTATAGCAACCATCCACAATATCATTCAGCTTAACATAAAGTCATCAGAAGATTCATGTCCTTGAATTTTAACAATCTCCAAACCTAATCGTAAACATATGTTATTCAGAATTTTAAAATATCACATGATTTTTTAGATATGATACACATGATAAAAAGAAAGTAAGAGTTCACATTACAAGTATCTTAATATTCTTTCAGCCATTCTAACTTTGGTTTCACCACCAATCCTCCAATCTATGTATCCTAAAATGAATTCAACTTCATTCTAGAACTAGCCAAAATTTCTCATCAACTACTTTAAGAAACACTCCTGCTTGCCTTCCAATAACCATAATTGTTACCACGAAAAAGTGGAGGCCAAGCTCAATCCACCCTCTGTTACCTCGTAATCCATGTTTCTTAAAACAGATTAATTCTGAAAACAATATTTTGAAAGTTTTTTAAAAGCAATCAAACTCATATCCAGTAACTGCTCTAAAAACAAGTTAGCTGCAGATTAAAAGAACCCAACAGAATCACAGATTAGGGAAAAACCTAGACCAGACTCACATGTTAATCAGGTGTTAAATTATAGGATGTAAAATAAATTGCTTGAATACTCAAAAAGGGACAAAGATAAGAAAGAACCACAATACTCGAAAGAAAAAGAAGCATTGAAGACTCCAAGCGGCAACGACTACTATATTTGTTTAATAAAATGAGGCTCTGCATCTTTAGAAAATGATAGCAAGAGTTGTTATAAATTTAAAAATAAATTAGAACAGTATAATGGTTTACAGTTGTTCTGCGCCTTTACTTTTAATATATATTGTGTTTATATACAGAATATTTAGATATCACATGTGCTTTCTTGTTCTAATTTTCTAAAGATGCAACTCCTCATTTCATTACACAAATATAGTATATGATCTTGCAAACCATTCTCAATTTATTATAAAAAAAATAGTAATAAAATAATATGATAATATAAGTTGCATGATTTTTTTCCTTTCAAAAGATAAACTGACATATTTATTTATTTTTATTTTCACTAGAAAACCGATAGGTCATACATAAAAAATCGTCCCAATTTTTTTCCAAGTGTCCAAGTAGCCATGTCAAAATATTGGACACTTTTTAGTTGAATCCTCATATCTAATAATTTGATGGAAGGACAAATCCAACCTCTAGATACGCACTCGTACCCAAGTCCAAATAACATAGGATAAGCCCAGAGGGGTGCCTCATCCCTCCTCCCATCCTCCCCCTCTTCCTCTCCCTTCTACCAAACAATAGAAAGTTGCTCCATCCATCCCCTCTTCCCTCCCTCCTACCAAGCATATCAATAGTGTTAATGTTGTTGGCATGCTCTCTCTTTTTATGATACATTGTTATGTTACTAATGCCCACCACAAAAAAACCCACGCAACATGACATGGGTGTGGGATATATGTCTGACACAAAAACCCAAATCACACTCCAATCCTCCACATGTCATGATAAAAGAAGAAGAAATGGTCAACTTTGAATAGCAAAGGAATTTCTTTCACTTGTGAGATGGGCTAAAGCCTAAACCTCTTTTCATCTAATTCAATTTAAATTCTAATTGAGTATACCTAAATAAAAACAACACCATAACTTAGAACATATACATCTTCTATTAAGCCAACCTCCATTGAGGTTTCATGAAATCACAATCAATCCCACTCCCGTTAAAAACCCATTAAAATCATTAAATACACTAATCCGCCTTCTAACCCCCGCTCCTTAGCCGGTCACCTCGATCCGAGGCTTGCTTGCTCCGCAGCGCTTTCTCTCCCCTCCCATCCATGAATATCATTTCCAAATAATCTTGACTATAGGGCAAACACGGTACACCTCCGCGTCCGACCAAGCCATGTCTCGGGGACCCCTGCCTGGACCATATTAATTTGATCTTCAATTACACCAATCATTTACAAGCTAGGCAAAGGTCATTTCGATCATTGATAGAAAGCTTAGAGCCTTACCGAGGCACTTTATCTTGCTTGGTTGCGGAGTACGGCGCCTCAAGCTAACCGGTATCGGCCAATTTGCCTCTGAGTCTGGGCCCAAAAACGAACCCAGCTGTTTCTTCAATACGTCTTAGGATATATATGGAAGATTCAAATTAGTACGAGCTTCCTAGAAGCAAAACCAATCTCTCCTTGATCATTTGAAGATCCTTTAACATGTTAATAATATATAATTTTTAAAAATATATTAAGCAGAAAACTAATATTTTTATATAGTTTATTCTATCAAAATATATGATTAGAGATTAATATAATATATTTAAATATATTAAACCTATAACTAATCTTTTTATATAGTTTATTCATTTAAAATATACGATTAGAGATTTTTAACATATTGAGCATAGTTATTTGCAAATTACACTAATCAAACATATTTTAATCTACTAAATATATTGCTAGAAATAAAAGAATTAATAACTAATACACCATTAGATATTTAATTCACAAATCCTTAAATACAAGCGTATGTTTGTACAAATATGGAATTGAACAGGTGCACATAAATACACCATATATGCATATACCAAGTGAATGTATCTGAGTAGTCAATAAAAATAGATTCCATGATCAACATTCAATTTTGAAGCCAATATGATACGAAGGCCAATTCCATGAACCAAGCCCTAGACATAGCCATTTCGCTCGAGGATTACTAGAGTGGCAGTTGTGAGGTGGTGGCCAACGATGAATGTGTTAAATAAGGTGGATCTTGAAGGGTCTTCCTAGTGGTGGAGAGTATTTGTTCATGTCACTAGTGGTGGTATTGGTAATGGTGAATTTATAGCAAATTGATTAAAGGCACATGGGTATGAAAATTTTGAATGTTTTTTAGATGGGTCAGTTTCCGCGTTTTCTGGAAGTTAAAATGTGGGATGTGACGAGATACAATTGGGTCAAAATGGTGGAAGGGACGTAGGGTTCGCAGATGGGCAGTTGTGGTGATGATGGAGAGAGGGGAGGGGGTGGTGGTGGGGTTGAGAGACAATTAAAACTGGGGGTGGAGAAAGAGGGGGTACAATATAGAAAGAAAAAAAATGGCCAGGGGGGTATGAGACAAAATTAGGAGGTTTCAATAGAGCATGATGGTCTTTTAATTTTTTATTCTTGTCAAATTTTTAATCAAAAACTATTTAAAAATTAAGGGTAAAAATGTCAATAACCTTAATAAGTTAACATCGTTTGTCGAACAAACCATGACTGAAACCTTCCAGAAAAAGAAACAAAAAACAAAAAATATATATATATGACTGAGGCGTGTCTATTAATTTTGCAAAAGTTTCGTAGAGAGGTTATTATTTCAAACCTTAGGGAGGTCAGAGTAATTTTATCCAATTTTAATGTATAAAGTGTGTCTACGTAGCCATAACCAATTTTTAGACCCATTTCATTGTATCCTAAGATTTGAGACTCAGGAAGGTCCAACAAATAGACACATCACCACAGCCAATACTCGTACCTAAATCCATGTAGCATAGCCTTGACGTTGGGGGTTGAGAAGAGGGAAGAAAAAGTTACAATATATGAATCCAGTAAATCAATGCTAATGGAATCCTTCATTACAAAGGATTCAAGAAAAAATTGAAGATGAATAGATGTTTTCGACAAAGAATTTTGTGCTAAAAAGGGTGATTTGGTCCTAATATAAGAAACACCTAGACCATAATCACCTTGTATCATTGAAGCACAAACTTCAGTTTTATTATACTTATTACAGAGAAATAATTCACATTTTGAACAATAGAACCCATCGGTACTTCACATTTAAAGGTATAATTTGCAAGTAAATGACAGTAGCCAGTAAATTATCCAAGCAAATGTCTGAACTAGAAACCAATGCAACCTCTAAAGTGTTCATCAACAGGTCTCGGAATCAAGGAGTTGAGATAGATATAATAACAAAAATACCAGTGATCACTAAACTTAGTTTTGCACTAGTTAACCACACACATAGGCTGTTTTAAGGAAAGACTGATGCATACCCGTTACAATAACCACTATAGAACTTCCTTCTGCATCAAGTTTTGACCAATTAAAGTAGTTTTGGGTTGAATAATCCCGAAAAAGACAAACCTTGCTGGGTGTTTTTGCAGATGATGCGGTTTTGCTTGATATGGCCTTTCCCTTTTGCTTTTTAACTTTCTGAGATTGAGATGTAATATCAAATTTCAGTAATAAACCTTGCCAGAAAATAATATACATAGATAACTATATGAACAATTTAATGCCATCAAGTATACAAGAATAAATAAATAAAGATTAATATAAGCCAATAAATAAAAAAATAAAAAATAAAAAAAAGTACAAGAAATCAAAAGTGTCTAACCTTGTCCGTGTCAGCAAGCAAAGTGTCAGTTGTAGCTTGAGGAGATTCCAAGAACTCCAGTAATTTTACTGAAATTTCTTCCTAAAAACATATCTCAGACTGATAAGATGATTGGTCATTCTAATGTCCCGCATAAAAAGCAGAAACATCATTTGTGGAAACTCACCTTCTTTGTACTGGTTTTGTTTACTGGAATATTGAGGATATCACAAAAATCCAACAATTTTTCTTTAAAACATTTGTCAAGTTTCTCCTTAACTTTTGTCCTCTGTTTTTCCTCCTGAAGATAAGAATAAACCAATAAATATAGGCTTTTGGGACAAAATCAATCATATCTTTATTAATGCATACACATAAATATCTGTGAAAAAATACAATACGGAAGAAACTCTTGCACATGAGAAGTAGATAAATGATTAAATAAATATGACCCTCCAAAAACCATAAATACCTGATTTTCAACCCAGACATAGCCAGAAAACTGGCCTATATTTCTCTTCAGACTATATGCCTGCAAAAGAAAACAACCACACTAACTTTAATCTAGACACAGCAGAAAACGGGAAACTTAAAGCAAAATTATTGCCAAATGAATTAAACCACAAAATCATATTGACTGACTTGTTAAAAGTACCAAGTATAAGACTACCTTTGTTTTCTTTCCAAAAAGGATCATGTGAAGATTCTGAAGGTTGTCATCAGGTTTTCTCTTGGACAGCTTGAAAGCCACTGAAACAGTTCATGAGATCATACTTAAAAGGTGAATATGATGTGACAAGGAAATTGAGCAAAAACAAAATTACACCAAGAAGAAATAGTAACATTTAAGACAACCAGCATAGTAAGATTCTGCATTGGGGACAGGTGGATTATACACCCAGGCATAAAAGTCTCAAGAAGGATAAAGCTTCACAAGACCTCAGTCAACAAACACCATATGGAGATAAAACACTCAAATGACATAACAACCACCTTTTATTAAACCATGTTCACAGCTAGCTAACATTGCATTTATTGTCCTAGAAAGGAACATAAATGAGATGCAAGGAGATACCGGGGAAAATAATTCACGTTCAGGAAATCTTCATAATGGCTTTTCAGGGTTCAAATTCTTTGTGCAGCTGTGCCTTGAACAAATATTGCCATTAAAATTTAAAAATAAAATAAAAAGGCCTTACGGCCTAAATCTTTGAACACTGATTCAAATATGGGGTAAGAGCTTAGTAGCCTGTCTTCAAAATTTCACATGAAGTTGATTGATTCTAGACAAGTACTTCATGATTCTCAAGTAATTAAGTTGTTTATGAATAGCATGAACTTCTGGTAAAATATAAGAACTTATCTTGTTGAACAAAACAAAAGAGGATAAACAAAACAAAAAAAAGTATATATGAAACACTGCAGTAATTGTTTGTGCTTGTGTGTATTCAAGTAAACAAACTCCAAATCTTACTCCATGTCCCTTTCTCTCAATGAAACTATAAGGACAGAAATGTTGAAGAGTTCCTTCTCAATGTTTTCAACGGACATTCCCTTGTCTCTCAATGAAACAATATGAACTGATTCCAATTTAATTTACTAATAACACACCATGCACCTTAACTACACGTCAACACGAATCCAGATACTGTCCGGTTGTTATGCTTTCCATTTGCAATAACAAACATATGATTCCAATATAATTTGCTGATTGTGTATTATTATCATCTAATAGTAATAGCCACTGAAGTGCAAAGACAATATGCCTTATTATGGATCAAATGATGTCACAATAGAAAAGTGCTGTATTTGGTAGAGAATCTAATTTATGTAGTCCTATTGCAAGAAAAGCACCTGTGAAGGTTATGATTAAAATTCAATAAGGTCGGGTGTTAGAGGATTGGTAGAGAGGGAAGAGGATAATTCCACAAGGGTAATCTAATACATAAGACAGGCGGCAAGAAGTTCCAGGCAGTGAACATAAGATCATCCATTCTTCAAGCCATGCCCGCTATTGATGCAATAAAAGTTGGGAAAGTAGCATTTTCTTGCATCTCGGTGCATTAAGGATAACAGTGAGATAATTCAGGTGATGTAAGTTACAAGTAAATGTATTGATACAACTGTGTATAATTCTTCCAAAATTTGACAAAACTAAGACACTAAAATTCGACAAAACTAAGACAATAAAATTCGACAAAACTAAGACGCTGTGCAGAACAATATCCAAACAAATTGCAAAAGAAGACATGAGAATTAATCAATAATTCTTCCTAGGAGATGAATACATACATACATACATACATACATACATATATGCATCTTTTTGTAAGTCAACAAAATTCAAAAATGTGTAATTGAATCGCAAAGGTCAATTCCATCAGTTATAGTCGAAAAGAAAAATCACAAGAGGGGGTTTCAAACCAGAAGAAGATGGTCGCTGCCCAATTCATAAAATTTGTGAAAATAGCATTTCCAGTGTTATAGAATGATAGATGCAGTACCATTGGGAATATCCTTAAGCTGCGTGCCTTGACCCTGCAATTCAAGAAAATAATATTAACAAAGAATTAAAGTAAAGAATTCTCGTAAAAATGTATGCTTTCAGTTACTACCTTCTCAATTGACAACCCTTTGCTCGCAGAAGCTCTCCCCGTTGACGGTTCCGAATACCGTTCCACCGTCTTCCTCTCCCTGATCGGCCTATCACTGGGCGTAGCCGGCTCTTTCGAGGTTGAACCAATTTCAGCTTTCTTCTTCTTGGTGGATTCTTTTGCTGCTTTCTTCGAACCTTTCTCTCCTTGCTTGGAGCCTGCCTTTCGACCTCTCTTGGGTTTCTTGTTTTCTTCACCTTTCTCTTCAGATTCCTCCTTTTCTTGAGAAGCCTCCTCTGCCATTTCCGTATCTTCTTCTGGTTGTTCTTCCTCTGCTTCTTCTTCTTTTGCTTCTTCTTCTTCTGGGTCCTCTTCTGCTTTATCTTCTTCTTTCACTTCACCTTTGTCTTCGACATTAGCTGTGTCTTCTTGATTCTTCTCTTCTAGGGTTTTGGACGCCATGGAAACCAACAACAATAGGAGTAGTAAACAGAGAGATAGAGAGAGAGAGAGAGCGTGTGTATGTAGAGAGATAGAGAGCGTGTGTGTGAGGGTGAGTAAAAGGCTAGGTTTGGAGTCGCCGGAACCCTAGAGATCGGTGGCAGTGATGATGCATGGACTCTTGGTGATGAGAGCTGTCGTTTGAGAGAGAGTGTGTATTGGTTTGGGGGGTTTTGAGTGGGGAGTAAGAGAGAGAAAGGAAGAGAAGGGGAGGTTTACTGCGAAATCGAATTTGCAAATTGGGGCAGATTTGGTTGAGAGCGGGCTGATTTGGTGGGGTTTCAAAATTTCATGCCAAAATTATTAGCGGGCTTCCAAACTATCCATCTCCCGGCAAATCAAAACGCGTGACTTGACACTGCACACTCACTCCTATATGCTTATATCTATACATTCCATACCTATACACACATACAGTATATAAAATGGATTTTTTTTTTTTTTTTTTTAACCCTTGGGTGTATTTTAGAAGCAATGTTCGTAAACATATACTACGTATAGTACTACTTCAAGTTTGTTTATTGTAGTCTACAAATGATTGTGTACATTTTGAGTTAGATCTGACAAGTCGAGTGTAGATTATAGTATTCAATTAAATTATTTGTTAGTATTTTGAATTCATTAATTATAAATAATTCAAATATAAATTATGATCAATCCAAAATTAAAATACATCTCTTCATTTTATTTTATTTTTTCTCTTCGTCCATCTCTTTATTTTGTCCCTTTATTATTTTTTTCTACTCTCTTTTATGTTTATATTTTATCTTTCTTCTCGTCAACTGTTTTTTTTATTAATCACTGTCTGCTAATATCATTTGATATTAATTTTTTAACCACCGGTATATTCATTAGATGAATCCGATTATCAAATCCAATATCTGATTAATAACAAGTCATATACCTGATTAATAACAAGTCATATACATATTCAATCATAAATAATTCGGATCATCGCGCCTTTGTCTTGTTTTTTTTTTTTTTTTTAACTCCACAACGTACCTTTTGCATGATGGGTCAACGAGTAAATACTAAGAGCGGCTTAAGCCCTTAGGCGTAGGCGCTTCCCATAGGTTGAATCGTTTAGTTCTTCCTATTTGTCCCGAAACAGATTGATACATCCACGACCAGCAGGTTGAATAGAGCTCTAACAGGCTTTTCAGAACCGAACCTACATATGGGGCAAAATGTGGGGGTGACTTGTGGCTAGTGGTGAAAGGCCAACCAAGATCGGATATAGCTGGTTTTTTGCAAAATTTATTTCAATAGGTGTAAAGGGTGGACGCTTGCCCATTTACCCAAAAGCTCGAACTGTTGAGTAGTACTGCATACCCACCCATTTATACCCATGTCACTTCCCATCCGGATCCGATGTGGGACAAGTTTCCCCTTGTAACATTCTCCCCCACCCGAACTCGTAACGCCCTTGTTGCGGTTGGGCCACCCTGCCTACCCGGGGTGGCACACCCGGACGCCTTCCTGGCCGGGCGCTTGGCGGGGCACCGGATCAAGGACTGGGTCTGGCTCTGATACCAACTGTAACGAGTGGGCACTTACCCATTTACCCAAAAGCTCGAACTGTTGGGTAGTGCTGCATACCCACCAATTTATACCCATGTCACTTCCCATCCGGATCCGATGTGGGACAAGTTTCCCCTTGTAACAATAGGGCATATGATGTCGATGTCCTGAGGTAGAGCACTCATCATCGTTTGTACAGACAGACTTTTTGGGTGCTAAGATCCAAAGTCAAGAGGGAAACAGCCAAGATCGTATGCTAAGGTCCCTAAGCAATCACTTAGTGGAAAAGGACATGATCGAGCGATGACAACCAGTAGGTGGGCTTGGAAGCAACCATCCTTTGAAGAAAGCACAATAGCTTACTCGTCTAGCTCCATGGCACCGAAAATGTATCAAGGCTCAAGTGATTCACCGAAGCGACGAGACCTTGAAAGCCTCTTTTTCAAGTGTCAGTATCAAGACGTTATGTCAATCGTGGAAGGTTTTTAGTGACAAGAACTGGAAATATCAAAAGTGAGAATGCTGACACGAGTAACTATAAGTCCTGTGAAAAACATGATCGTCTACCAATGGAAGATTTTCTGGGTTCAGTCAATCTACGCATAGTGAATCAGTCCTTAAGGAACCCCCGAAAGGGCTGTCGTTCAATTGGTAAATGAAAGTGACGAAGTTGCTTTGACTACCAAACCATGCTTGCCTATTAGATCGAATTGGATGATCGATCCGAGGGCTGCCCCATCTTCCCCTCATTCTCCTTTTGCTAATATGAACCTTGAGTTATCAAAGCCTGGCCCGGTCACCCTTTGAATCTTCAGTAGTGGCCTTCACATCTTTTGATGTGAGTAAGGGTCGCAAGAGAGCAGAGCGTACCTTACTACCATAATAGAAAATAAATATTGTATTGTGAAAAGGAAAAAAAAAAATTTCTTGAAATAAATGTAAACACACTTTAAAGGTCTAGATATATTAGAAATATTAGACACAATGGTGGTGTTGGTGTGATACCCCCCAATTTTCGAGCACAAGTTGATCAGGTCGTCACCCAAAAATCAGGGGATATCAGACAATTAATAATAAACAAGCACAAATACAAGATGAAATAAGAATAAATAAATAATCGCCGGAAGAAAAAACTAAATAATAAATCAAAATCCTTTGATACCAAAATCTCTAGATAAATCAATAAATAATATTCCTCAAAAGTACAACTCAAGAATCTATATATCATGGACCCCTAATAAAATCCCATACATTAAAATAAAGAATGTCTAAGTAACTAATCCAAACAATAAATAAAATTTGAGATACTGTCCTATGTCGATAATCGGGAAGAGTGAATAAGAATATCTCTAGTCAGCACGAACAATCGCTAGGGTTGGAACTGACGTAAACCTGAAAAATAAATTGTAAGTTACACCCACGAGCAAGCCCTCTCTACTATTACTCGATAATCAATACATCTCTAGTTGAACTCATTCAATAGCTACGTAGTCAATATATACATATACGCATTATAAACGTTCACTGAATACAGGGCAGTCTCAACCTAATAGAGGGTATCACTTGAAAAATCACACACAAGGTGGTCAATAGTCCCCTTTCTACCAGGGTCAACACATCTCCTATATCTCGCTACTCATCTCCGGCAATATATGCCTCAATCCTCACCACGGATCCCGAGGTACGAATCAACGTATTAGGGCATCGCACAGATGTATATAGTAATAACATCATGCATAAGTAAAGCAATATATAATAATGGCACAATATAGTGAGTCTAAACTTATTAGTTAGCTCACTCCATTATCTCATAACCATATCTAACAATGGTGCCACATTAGTGAGTATAAACTTATTAACCATCTCATTAATTCGCATCCAAGCATCAGCGTTATGCATCAATCCCATTAAATTTATAATTATCATAGATACAAAAAATAATATAGCCATAGATCATTTTTTTTTTTTTAGATCTTAAGGACCACAATCTATATAATTAAAATCATTAAACTTAAATTTGCATCATATATCTCGATTTAAGCCACACAAGGGAATAAATACAATTTATAAAATGATTTAAACCACAATTACTAATCCCCCATTGCATATTGAATTTATTCAAGCATTTTGACACTTTTTTGAGTTCATTGGTCCAATTAAAACCCAACCCAAACAATCAAAACAAAGGCAACTAACAAAACACAGGCCTACAGCAACATGGAATTTCGGTCGATGGGGAGACTTAGTTGACCGAGTTAGGAAAACCGGTCTGCTTGGGCCTCATGCGTCATCCAAAACCTGCTTCCTGTAGCTTTGTCTATTTGGTTTTTTACCTGCAACTCCATCGCTTGGAACCCTAATCGTAGTTTCTATGTTCCAAATCATCATAAACATTTAATATAGTGTATTTACCCAATGATTAAAACAAAGTTCCACCCATTAAATAAAAAAATTAATCAAGTTTAAGCACGCACACATATATATATATATGCATGTATAACAGTCTATTTCAGTTCATATAACAGCAATAATAGTCCGTTTAATTCTCTGATTTAATCCATAAAGTTTAGCATGTGATGGAGAGATTATAGATTCTAAGAGGAAGAGAAAGATAGAGAACTTGCCTTATGATTTTTCGGATTGAAAATCAACCACAAGCTCTCTGTAAACCTTTACTCTTCTTCTCCAACTCTGGTAACCCTCTATGCCCTCGTTCCTTTTCCTCGCTGGCCAGTTATCCTAGCTCTTCCTTAGGGTTCAACCTCTCTCTCTCTCCTTGCGTTTCTTCTTCTCTCTACCTCTCTGTAGGTTTTTTTCCGTGAAAATCCAACACAAACCTAAACATGCATACATATATATATACTAATGCTATAATCTTACCCTAAGTCTAAGAAGCAAAATAAAACTAATAATAATAATAATATAGAACATAAGAATATATATATACACACACACACATAAATAGATGTTGTAGTTTATAATTTAAAATATAATTAAGTGTGTGTGTATATATATACACCTACACCTCCTTCACCAAAGCCTTAAGCATGATTACTCCATATAGGCCTCCTCCCACTAGTCCAAATCAACTCCTTTGGTCTAACTAACTCTAAGCCCGACACATTACTAATAAAATAAAATAAAACAACTACTTAAATAATAAAATACACAATTAAGCCTACAATTAAACAAATACTTGACAATTAAACAAATAATCACATGTAATGCACATTAAATAATTTAAAGCAAGTTAATTAACTAACTACACAAATCATTTACACAATTAGCGATTTAAATCAAATAAATAAATATTTAATCAATTAAACAACTTAAAGAAATAAATAATTCAAATAATATAAATAATTTAAATAAAATAAGACCTTTAAAAATATAGGGGTATTACATCGGGCTTATTACAACACCCATGATTAACCATTGGGCACATGCAGTCCTCCCGGTCCATATATGAGGAGATTCTAACTCTCGACACCCATAATGTGAGATGAGAGCCTTACCATTAAGTTTGCCCTTTGGGTTATATTGTAACTATTTCATTTAGAAAATGGAAAATTGCAAAATAAAAGGGCAATTATAGTGGCCTGAATTTGATTTAATGGTAAAAATGGCCTAATCAAGAGGGGAATTTGAGGGATCATAAGTAAAATAAACTATATTTTAGTATGGAAGGATCATTTTTTTATATTTGGTAAGAATATATACATTTGAAAAATAAGAAATAGGCAACGTTGGCCCAAAAGCCCTAATTTTGCAATTTCTCAATATTGACTAGATTGGGTGGGTCAATTTGAAATCAAATGGTACAAATGCATGAATTATTATCCAGT